AATGAAAGAGCAAAAAAACCGGGAGAAATTGAGGTTAGGTACAACTACGGCATGTGCGGCTGCGGAAGTTGCTAGAATTGCCGAAATTGAAGAAATGCCTCCGGATGAGCCAAGTTGCTCAACGGAATTACCTTTCCAAGAAAAACTCAAAATGTGGGCAATTCGTAATCAAATATCTCGGAAATCCTTTTCCGAACTCTTGGCGCTCCTTGCAAAAGAAGGTATGAATGTACCCAAAAGTGCCGAATCTCTTTTAAGACATAAATCTCTAGCTATAGTAGAAAATATGAGCCCGGGACTCTTCTGCAATATCGGCATTAAAACGCAATTAGAAAAAATTGCTGACCAATTAACTAATCACAGCACAATAGTAGTAGATGTTAATATTGATGGGTTGCCATTATATCGTAGCTCAAGGATGCAGCTTTGGCCAATTTTATTACGTATTGTAAATGTGCCAAATACATCGGTTTTCGCTGCTGGTATTTATGTAGGACAATCCAAGCCAGATTCTATAACAAAATTTTTAAGCGAATTTATTGAAGAAGTCGCAGAACTTCAAGCTTGTGGTTTCGAATGCAATGGTCGCTGCATAACGTTTCAGGTTAGGGCTTTTATTTGTGATGCGCCGGCGAAATCTTTTCTCTGCGGAATACCTGGGCACACTTCTCGACATGGTTGTTCCAAATGTAATCAAGTGGGCAAAAAAAATTGAAGGCGTACTAACCTATAGTACCAACGTCGGAACGCTTATTTCCAACTCTGATTTTTTGGAACGCAAATACCCGTATAAACATATATCCGCTTTCAAGACCAATTTATCTCCTCTAGAGAAGATTAATATTAATATGATTACGCAAGTTCCTTTTGATGTCATGTACTTAATTGATTTAGGTGTCATGCGCAAGTTTCTTATACGAGTTATAAACAATAAATCGAACCATAAGTTGAAAAAAGAAGCAAAGGTTAATATTTCTTCAAAACTAGTAGCTTTATCTTCACACATCACCAAAGAGTTTGTACGAAAACCAAGACATTTGGATGAAATAGCAAATTGGAAAGCTACCGAATTCCGCATGTTCCTTTTCTATTATGGAATTTATGTCTTAAAAGATGAACTTCCCGATGATGTTTATTACGAATTCCTCCTTCTACATTGTGCTTGCCGGTTATTGTTCTGCCCTAAAAATTATAGTGCTAATATTGATACAGCGGAAAATATATTAAAATTGTTTGTTCAAAATTTTGCTCTTGTTTTTGGAGAAAATAGCGTTTCGTACAACGTACATGGTTTACTACATGTGTCAGAAGATGTTAAAGAACTAGGTGTACCGTCAAATTACTCCGCATATTCGTTTGAAAATTATCTACAAGTTCTGAAATCGTACGTAAAAAAACCAACACAAATATTACAACAAATTTCAAATATGCTCAAACACGAAAAAATTGTCACTGAGCAAAAGTTTGCTGGATTTAAAATGAAAAATGATTGCATAAAAAGTTTTTATTGTAACGAATACATGTTATCCACAGCATGTCCAAATAACTATTGTTCTGTGAAACCATTTCAGTATATAGAAATACAGGAATTCTAAGATAAAAATAAAAAAGTTTTAAAAGGCAAGAAATTTTTGAATTTGGAAAGCTTTTTCGCAGAACCCATTGATTCTTGCACATTGGGAATTTGTACTGCAGACTTCACTCCCTCGCCTATTGTAGAGGAATTTTCTCTGGAGGATATAGAATACAAATTGATGTGCATTCCTTTAGGAGAGAAAATTCTTCTCATTCCAATTTTGCATACTTGCATGTAGCTCTTTTTTATTAACTTACTTTTTTAACTATACTTTTCTTACTTTTTGTTAAAATACGAGATCAATAATAAATTTATTTTTATTTTCGAGCACTTTCTAAAAAAATTCGGAGCGCAAAACCGCAGCACCTCGATGGCGGCCATCCCAGCAAAAAGGCAAAATGTAAGTATACATTATTTATTAATTATATTAGTACATAAGCGTAAAATCAATTTTAGATGCGAACAAGACTATTAACCCGTGGACAAGCGGTATAAGTCACGTCAATGAATGTACAATAGGTAATAAACTTCTGCAATGTGAAATTTTCATACTTTTGTGTTCGTTATGCTTAACTTTCGTTATATTTTTAGAATCACGTAGAATCAGCGTTTCGACGTCGACCATTGGATATAACCTCGGTACATTATTTAATTATATACATACATACGTGACGTAAAACTTAAGCTACCAGCCTCTTGCCTCTTGGTAGTTTATTCTCTAATCAAAACCATATATTTAAACCGAAGTTTAAAACTTTATTAATACGTAGCACTGCTATTATTTTCGCTGCAGTTGTATATGAAAAACATATGTATGTACATACATATCGCCAAATGAATTGTAAAAGGTTTTGATTGACTATGATACATTTCATCGAATTACAAGTCCCCACATC